TTTTTCATCGCTTTCTCGAAACATCAACTAACAGATTTCATAACACGCCTAGATACTAAGACAAATAACTTAACAAACTATGTAGGTACATTGAATAAATAAAACCTGTTTTGGTTTACCTTTCTATGGCAGATAGTCAACCGCCTAAAATGTGCTTAATTAAACATGTGACACTCTATAACCTACTTAAAGGTTGCAAGGTAATAGTAATAATACTTGTAGATTTTTTTATTTGAGTTGTACAGGGCACATGAAAATGCACTACTTTGAGGAAGTTACACTTGTCTGAGAAACATAGTTGGGGGAATTTGAAGACTTATAACACAATCGAACATCAACATTTCAACTTTAAGTGTAATTTTATTTATACTATTTGAGTAAATATGTTTTTAACGGACTATGGGTATGATTTCGGTGCTTTCCGTTCTTTGATAATTATCAAGAAACAGAATTTGCTTACAATTTCAGAGGTTTGGACTATTCAACTTGACCAACCAAACATTTGCATGCAGAAGGAAATGGCGGTTATCTTGAATCTATCATGGTAGATACTACAAAATAGTGTATTCATTCCTCTTCTTACTGAATCATATTTGTTTTCAGTTATTTGAAGTGAATTTGGACAAACCTAGGAGGACTACATTTGCCAAATAAAATGGTATCATTTTATTTCACTCATACTCCCCAGCTGCACACAGTCCAAGAGTCACCGAGGAAGAGAGAAACCAACCACTCTCTCTTTCTGTATGCAGAGGTCAGGTTGAAAGCGTTTTATAGCAATCGCTTCCATGAAGCCTAGTAATCTAAACATTTTCTATACATTTATTATTCTAACTATTAGCTTACTTCTTTTAGCGGACCTATGTAGTGTAATCGTTGTCACTATTATTTACAATACACTTAGTATTCTTCAGTTTCCTTAAATCTACTGCCTTGCTAAGCCACCTCTTCACTCAATAACTGTCTCATTTACAGTGGTATCATTCAACCTCAAATGCGAAAATTGTAGTACTTTAAGAGTCGAACCTGAATGCTTTGTTTGGGGATAATTTCATTCCAGTCCTTTTGTTATGTGTATTATGTTGGGAAATAAATTACTTACTGAATGACGTTTAGTATACAAGTTGTTTCTCACAATCACCCCAAGGTATTCTCATAACATTCTGGTTGATTTTGGTACACCTGTGACCTCTGCGACACTTCATGCTTTCCTAGTTATTTATCTTTTTCTTTCTCTTCAAAGATTTGCAGTCTTGTGTGCTGTAGTTTTTAGTATCTATTTTGCATAGATTTCACCCTGAAATAGTTGCAAAACAAGTACACCAATTTCTAAGCTCATGTATTGGATTCCCTGTTTCTTTGTGCAAGTGAAAGATATCGAGTAGGGATAAAGAATACACTGTCACTCTTATAACATACTTTATTGAAGGTGATTTTTATCTTAAAGTAAGTTTTATTATTGAAACAGTGAGCATAAATTTAAATACGCTTAGGGGCTTGGCTTGATATGAATATATTTCTAGATGCTTTTTAAACGGGTGAAAAATCTTAAATACCCAGTACTTTAAAGAAACTTAATTCTGATATATGTTGTTAGTCTTTCACTTTATGCAAGCAAACAGCTAGAAGTGTAATAAATGTCCACTTATAGCTTGATACTTAATTTGATTCATACATACATTTTAAAGTTCATAAGTAAGGTCGTTCACTAGGTCTTCCTGAGCCATAGCAAGGACAAAGGCTGTGCGAATTTCTTCTGAATACAGAGCTTCGGATTGTTCATTCGAATTCCAATAGCTTCAGCCATATGTAAAACGTGGGTTTAAACTCCATCGGAAAGGTTCGGTGAAATGCAGTCCATCACTTTGAACGCTTTCGCCTTATCTACTCTGTGACCACGATCAACTAGATGAGACAAACTGAGCTTATTATAGATTAAACTTGTGCTTTTCCAAGCCACGAAGGTAAGTATTCGGTAATGCGTTGATTAATTTGCCTAATCGTACGCCCGATGTAATTCTTTCCAATGGAACAAATATACAGGTAAGTACTGAAGGAAGTGGTGAAACTAGTGTGTGTTTTGTTAAGATTCCATTTCGTTCTAATCCATATCCTGATCAGTGATAATAATCATGTCATCCATGTGTTTATAGTACGATATCTAGCTTGTTGATGCCATCCTTCAATGGTCCGTTCTCTAGTTTGGGCAGAATAAGTCTGCAAGAATTAGGTCTAATGGCCATCCCGTTGCAATTTCATCCTCTTGTCTATCACATAAATTATTTGAAATATAGCGCACATTCAATGTACATCTAAGAAGTAATTGCTTAAGGTTAGATTCAGAAATTTTAATGTTGGTTTGTTTCTCTACCAAGTATCGACACATGAAATCAATCGTCTCCATGAGCGGTACTTTGGTGAGTTATATCTGTACATCTACATCCACTTATATTCACCCCTGTCATCCTAGAGATGACATCGAAGATATCCTTCACACTATATTTTACAACTAGCTTGTGCAGAGGTCTTGAGATAGGGAAAAACTACTTTGCTATTTTATGATACGGCGAGTTATACATATCTAAAACTGGTCGAAGGGGAAGTTCTGGTTTTTGGACTTTGAGCAGACCATAAAGCGGTTGTATGCTACATCTTGTAGGCTTCTGTGATTCATACACCGTTGCTGAGATTACACCTTTTTGTTTCAGTTCCTTAAGACAGTTGATTAGCTGCTTTTTCACTGTTGCATTCAAATCTCTAGAACCACCGATCTTCTGGAACTTAGTTTGATCGCTCGGAAAGGAATTCATTTTGTCTGCACAATCTCTTGCCCGACAATACTTACCTGCTTCCTTATTCGGCTTACGCATAACCAGCTTTTAATTCTTCCTTAGCTTCTGAAAGGCTTCCCGATATTATTTCTTCAACAAGCTGTTTTGTAGAACTCTTATAATTTAATAGTACATCTGATGAATACGATAGTGTTTGTTAATCAAGTTTTTCAAGAACTCCCTCCCTTAGTTCTAGTGTTATTTCAAGCTATCGATGATGTTAACGTATACTGGTGAATTCATAGTTAGTGGGTCAATGGAATGACAATAATAAGATAGATGTTGGATGCTTGCCAGAATTCTTGGTCTCGTAATATTAATAACTGCGTACTAGAGACACCATCCACAAGCATACGCCTATAGACTTTTAAATAGATCTAAAGCTATAAGAGAGCTAGAACATATTCTATCAAGCATTCAACAACTTATCAGTGACAAATCTATGTGTTCCAGAAGTTTTTAATCAGTTTTAGTTCTAATCACATTAGAGATGCCAAGCAAGTGAGGAAATTCATGTCAGTAATATACAATAATGGTGATAATCATTTATCAGAACAGTACTTTTTATTTTTTATAGAAATGGTTTAAAACTTGTGAAAAGTAACAAGTGGTAAGACAATCTGTACGAATTTTTGACGAACAAAGCCTAGATCAAGAACGCAAAACCCACTGTTTGTGTATTACTTTTAGGCACAGCCTTGTAATTCAACACCTTACCTATTGAAGTCACTCAATATGACGAACAAAAGTTAAATGGGTGTGAGACTTAGCCTTACCGTTAGTCTCTACTTCACAGATCTGTCAGTAAAAGGTAAACAATAACATGCTGTGTTTTAATGACTGAATTTTTTCTACTAAACATAAGTTATGGTCGCTAATCTGTAAAGCCAGCATCAGGATGCACATTTCACTGATGTTAAGTGACTGTAGTCAATCGATAGGAAGCCGTGTTTGTTCAGGGTTTCGTTATTTCTGGTACTTGTCAGTCGAGTGAGGGGACTGATGCATTCTGGGTACTTCGAGCAGAAAAGTTACTACTTATTAATTTAGGTAGTTACTAATCTCGTGTAAAACTGAAATAGATACACTAAACCTGTTGAATATGAACGGTGTGATTTCAACGTATTGTATTCAAGCAGACAACGTCAACCAGTGACGGTGTATGAATAACTCCGTGAGAAAGCCGGAGATGAAATTTAACTAGCCAGACTTAACACACCCACAAACATCAACAGTCAATCAAGTTGGACTCAGGAAAAGAAGAATGTAATAAATATCTATCTATACACAGTCAATTAACTATACTTCCTTATGAAACAATGAGGCTTTGATGGTCATATCTAACTGGATAATGAAACGTTAGTCAACTCAAACCCTAGCTTAGGCAATAAATTTATCATTAATTTCTTTGAAAGATATTTAAGTGCAACTCTTGTAAAAAGGCTACCGACTGAAATAGCTGCTACTAAGTATAGGATATTATTGCTTAAGTGACTCCAAAAGAGATGATACATACCCTTCAACTTTATGTAAACAGAAACAGAAGTAGCCTTGTAACCACTCCATTATGATAATACAACTAACTGTACATCGCAATGAATCAGACATGTTTTTTCCGAATACTCTCGTATACTTTACTATGTAAATACATAAGTGTATAGTTGTATAGTGCGAATTGGTTTGAGCACATCACATACCGCATACAAGATAAGTCAGAAAATCATATTAAATTCAGAATTTCATAACCATTAAACCCAAGATCTATATAGACTTATTTCAAATACGCTAGTGTAACTGTGCTTGAATGAACTTCCATGAAGACACACGAGCAGTTAGCGTAATCTCTGATCATCGATAATCACTTCTACTTTTATACTGGGTGATATTTGAAGGTGAGATGAAAATTTGGACCGCAAGCGGATTCGAGCTAGCTATTATTGGGTTTCCGGCCCGATGCTCCATCAGTTGAGCTACGAGATAGCTGTAGTTTGGCAGACTTTTATTCTTAACACTATTTGTGGTGCAAATAAATGCTTGAAGTATTCTGAGTTAGCAAATCAATAATCGAGTGATAAATTTACATTTACATGAATTAATAATGAATTAGTATAAATTGATTATCTAAATGCACAACCTAATAATGTAAAATACTTAAGTTGAGCGGCGTACATAAATAAATCAGATGGTTACTTTTGGTGATAATTCTTTGATCAAAGTGCCAAGATCCCAGATATAGGTGTTTCCATTAGTACTTCCAGTAGCTAAGAGTCTGGAACTGAAGTAATAGGAAGATAAAAATGTTATTTAACTTGAAAAACAGCTACTTACTCTCTATGATTCAATTCTGCACTTATAATGGCACCTTGATCTTCATTATGTCCCTGAGATGTCAGTGAATACAACAGCACGGGTTGAAAATTATACTCTTTCTCTGTATGAATATTGTTTTGCATTGTAATAACTGATACAACCGTTCCATCACCAATTAGGTCATATATCAGTATAGAATTGCATTCAGTGATACATATGAAGATATTTGATAAATATGGTGAGAATTTGGCGATAAGTACAGATCCTTCACCTGGATCAATATTTATTAAAGGTGAGTTTTGTAAAACACTAAATAGCTGGGAAAAACAAATTGGAAGAGAAGAAGTATCCTGTTTAGTTACAGTATGTTTAGATTATTTCATACAGATAACACCACAACATGATTCTTTGTGAGTCACCTTCCCCCTGATTGCTAAATAGATAGCAAATAGACAGCTCTAGTCAGTTTTGAGTATTTCGAAACGACAACAGATTTGATAGTGATTCAATAATTTCCATTGGTACATTGAGAGTAAGATATTCTGAGAAGAGACTCTTTTCAACGAATTTATTTTCAAGCTGTACTTTCGCAAATATATGATATTTGAAAGGGTATATTCCTTCAGGAAAACTAAATAAAATATGATGATGACACTAATAATAAAATGGATGATGACGTCCTTCTCACCAAACGTAAGATTGGATTCCATAAAAGACCCATCTACTGAAAAGCAACGTGGAACGGACAACTAAATAATTTTTATATCTGGGTGTCAGTCGGTAGAAGAAGAAATCTTATTCACTCTCTCTGTTATCGAATAAAAAATATCTGTAGTGAAGATTGTATTGATGTAGAGCTATCGTTTTTAAAAAGCAATTTAATCAAGAACGGTTACTCATGTCGTTTTACTGATAAAAATATTCGAGAAAGAAATACCAAACCGGTCATCCACTCGGTCTCAAAGTAAAGATTGTTCATCAGCCTAGAATTTAAAGGTGATCAAACATCAGATGTATCCAAGAATCGTCTATGCTGGTCAATCAATAGAACTTTCTTAGCAGCAAGACTCCAAAAGACTTTTACCAGCCCTAAACTATTCTCCGTTTGTGTTAAAGATAAGCTTTCTCGTTTGGCCACCTCTATGTATATCTACTGGTTTATCTGCTCTTGTGGAGCCAAATGCATCGACCATAGCCAGACAATGCTTTCTACACTTATATGAGAACACGTTCTAGCTTGGTTTCATAAAGGTGAAAGAAAGTCTGTTAGAAGTTTGATTCTAGAACATTTGATTGATTTCCATCACTCGACAAACCCGGACAATAACATAAAAATTATTTATTAAACTCCCCCAAACTTCCCACGTTTTCAGCTCTTTAAAACAGCAGAGACTTTTGCTATTCATGAGCTAAAACCAGGTTTGTGCGCACAAAGGAAGTATATACAGTCACTGTTCTTACCATAGCCATGACATTTTCCCATCCTTATTAATTTCCCCTCCGCCTACTTTGTTAATTTAACCTTTGTATCCTTCCTTTATCACTATTATTGTAGTCATAACTGCTTTCACTTTGATTAGTTCCTGGTGTTACTTCACTTAACTATCTTAAACTTTTTAGAAAACATTGATTTCATGTTGAACAACTTACCTAATTACATTTTAGTTGGCAAAGATTCACAAGTTCATTGACTAAATTACGTTTCTTGCCTATTACCCTGCACTTCACGTCACCACTGTTCATACGATAATCTCATGATAGACGAGCAACTCTACGATGATACTTATAGTCTACTTTCAGAGACCATGTCTCATAGTTGCATAATTGCAGAAAGCAGACTAGTGCACCATATATCCATCCTTAGATTAGTAGCTTTAAGTTAAGTGATATTCATATTACATCTGATTAGAAAGATACACAAGTCCAGTGCATAAACCCCTACACAAAAATCAGAATACTTGATACTTTCTTCAAATGAGGTGTAAAGATTCAAACGTGTTCTAGTCGACCGTTGTTGCATACATACTAATAGGAATCGGAATTTCAAGAGTATATTGCATAAAAGGCAGGCTAACTTTACGTAAACTTCGGGTGAACCAGAATCCGATCATCATAAAGTCTTATAAACGCTCAAAGGCGATTGTTATGGAGAAAGCGGAATACCGTTTACTACTGCTTTGTATGTGTAGAAATATTCACTTTGAGATGTTATATAAATTTCCAGGTGATGATTTCTGTCGAAATTCCTCTTTCCTCACGTTTTTTGTTTGCTTTGAATATACCAGTCTCTTACACAACACTGTTTAAGTTGGTTTATTTACAATTACTTCTATCTTAACCATAATTGGACGTCTCATGTAAAAATATAAACAATGTCATAACAAAAATTGGCATAAGTGTAAAATATAGGCACTGTAGTAGAATGTAACTCCACATTAGACTTGATTATTTGATTAATAAAACACAGTGATATGGTATTACTTACTTAATTGCCTTTCCAGCATAAATTATTACTCATAATCACACTCCTTTCAATATCTGATTTTTATACTCCTGTCACCTCATATATTTTGTTTTTATTGGTAGTAAAGTTTTCCATATCTCTGATATAGGTGTTGTATCATTTCTATTACTATATGTGTTGTGTATTGATTCGATGAGCAAAGATTCAGTAGTTAATCTCTGTCTCTCTCTACCTAATTATATTGGACTTAAGTACAGACGTTTTATCCTGTTGTGTGTTAATGCATGCATTGGAATAGAGAAGTTTATTCTACATTAGTGAACTTATTCGGGTCTGTCATTCCATATTTAGCTAAGTCCCTAAATCTCGCTAATCTAACTGACCCTAACCGTCAAAACGTCTTGATGATCAAGGAGTTGAGCACTGAATTACGTCATAAACAACATCCCAGTAAAGAAGTAATATGAGTTTGTATTTCTGTAGTGCAATATAACGAGCACGCGATCTCTTTACCTGATCTCAGTCCATCGGTCAACTAAATATGATAAATTTATCAAACAATGTTAATCTAATGTAGTGTCAAACAAATAAGTTGTGGCAAACAAGTTGGTTCGTTGCCAGAGGTCATAGATACAGTGCCAGTTGATAAATCTAAAAAGAACTGTATCTAAGTTGTTGATCCAATCTACCATACGACCAATACAATAATTACACGAAGATTTATCATGGTCACAGAGGATATGCTAAAAAAATGTTTTTATGTCAACTTTGTTTACTCCTGAATATTCAGAGAAAAATATTACTAAATACGGCAAACCTTGTCATATCATTTCTTAAACACAGTTTCATTACAAACCAGTTGTCAATGGAAACACATAACTGTAAACCAAACTGAAGATTGTTTTCGGAAAAAGTTTTGTATATTTACCTGTACACCTTGATTCAATCCGCATACAAGAATAAGGTTTGGGTAGAATGCATTCCAGTCTACTGAATAAATTGGACCATTGTGACGAGCTAGCGAAAATTTAACCGGCGATGGCATACACTCATCCACGACCTCCTCTAAAATGGGGGCAAAATTAGGAATTAAAGCAGAATAGTTCAATATGAAAATTTCAAAAACCATTCCAAGGATCTTTTCTTTAAAGCTAAATGTATTGTTCCTGAGGATTTTGAAGAAATAAAAAGTATTTCAAATGACTTATTAACGACTGAACTAAGAGAGAGTAGGATTTTGAGGAACAAAAATACTTTTAAGTGGAATTTTACTTAAAATCATCAAACGCAACTACCACCACATGGAAGCATTGACTTGACTGACATCGGTGTTGAAAATTCGGATCTTGTACATGCTACATGCTGAGTAGAGTGCGGTTGATCTCCACACACGGTTTCAGATTGATAAAAGCCTGTCTTGCTTTTCCGATCCTGGCTTCGACGTCTTCATCTGTGCCTGTGCCGCCTGTAGTTGAAAGGATGCTGCCTGCCTAGGTAGGTGAAAGAGACAACTTCCCTTAGGTTTCTGCCGTTCATGGTGATTGGTGCTTGTTGTTGTTGGTGGTGTTGGTTGGGTATCTTCATCACCTCTGTCTTCTCTATGTTCACCTGAAGGAAGTCTCGTCTTCGCTGCCCTGCCTCTACTATCAACTTGTTGGTATTTGCCTGTAGATCTTCGAGTTTGTGCGACATTAGACATAAATGATCATCGGCGAAATCCAAATCTTCTTCTAGGGTCTTTTCATTGGTCTAGCCAGTATAGGCCCCTATTCTCGCTCCTCGCAGTTTGTTGCATGATCCAGTCCAGTGAACTACAACCAGAAAGGTCATCAGTGATAGTAGGCGCAACCTTGTCTTACTCCTGTCTTCACTTCAAAGTCATCACTGAGCTTTCCATTGTGAATCACTTGGCATATAGCATCATATACCATATAGTTCCTGTTGAATGAGGTTGATAAAGATTTGTGGCATCAAAACCATAGTGTTTAAGGAGTTGTCAAATTACTTCCCAGTCGACGCCTCGATCGAAGGCCTTTCCAAAATCGATGAAGTTGAGACAAGGTAGAGAGTTGACTGGCATTCTGTGCTTCGTTCTATGACGATGCGCGGCGTAGCGTTACAATTTGATCCTCACATGATTTGTTCTTCCTGAATCCAGCCAGCCTGTTCTGGTCTTAATTTTGAATCGGGAGCATCCTTTAGTCTCTCCAGGATGGTGCAGCTTAATATTTTGCAATAATGCTAGGAGAGTGTACGTTGTTGTCTCTGAGTCTGCTTTCAGTGCTTCTGGAGGAATCCCATGTGGTCCTGCTGCTTTCCCGAATTTCAGCAACTGTATGGCGTTTAGGACTACACTTCGGCTTTTGTTAAAGGGCATGAGTATACTGGTAATTCTGTGACTGACCTGCTGGTGGTATTCCAAGATGGGCTGCAGGTGGTGATGGTGGTCCATTCAAGAGTTTCTTGAAGTGGTCAACTCATCGTTTCCTTTGTTTCTCCTCTTTGCTAACTAGGTTTTCTTCAACATCCTTCAATGGTTTCATTTGTGTTAACCTCTTCCCAGATAGTATTTTCGTTATTTGATGTAGTGTTGACAGGTCTTTGTCTCTCCTATCTGCAGCCTATCCTGCTTCTTTTGCAAGTCTGTCGTAGAAGTGTCTTTTGTCTTTGAGTGCACTCTTCTTCACTTCTTTGTCCAGTGTAGTGTTTTATTAGTTGTGTTCAGTTCTTCTTTTCGTTGTTCATCCTTGCAGTGCAATGGCTCATCTTTTTATTCACCATCACTATTTCCCTCATCTATCAGCTTCCATGTTTCCATCGAGATCCATTCCTTGTCTCTTGTTTCTTTCTAACACGGTTATGCATGTTTCCTTCCACATCTCTTTCGAAGAGTCCCAGTGTTCTTCGATGCAGGTTTCTTCAGGGATGTTACTCAATACCTCTCATTTTTTCCTAATGACTGGCATGAAAATGTCCTTCGTAGTTTCGTCCTTCAGTCTCCGATCTGGGTGTTCAACTTCAACTGTGGTATATCATCAACCTCTTTGAGGGTCCCTTGCGCTAGATAGTTAGTGGTGTGAACCTACATCTGCTCCTCTTCTTGACCTGATTTTGTGTCCAGTAGGCTGCACCTCCATCTCCACTTCCTTCAGATTGAGATGAAGTCGACCTGACTTTTAGTGTAATGTGTCCATCTGGCGAGAACAAATCCATATCGCTTGTGAATATCCTTGTACCTGTACACACTGCCTCCAATCACCAAGTCATTAAATGCCCAGAAATCTGCAAACGGTTCTCCATTCTTGCTCATTTCACTGAGTGCTTCGCGACTCATGACGACTTTTCTTCCTGTGTCGTCCGCTCCCAGTTTGGCATTCATGTCGCTCATTAGAATTCGGATGTCGCCAACTGGTGTATTGTCTAGTACTGATTGCAGTTGTCTATAGAATTCCCCCTTATTCTCCTCATCTGCATTATTTGTAGGTGCATTGCGTGTCAATGTATGATTGTGACTTAACTTCCTTTTGATTTCAACCTTGCTGTCATGACCCTGCAAGAGGAGATTGGTTCTCACTGCATGATAGCCCTCAATGTTCTTAGGGACGTCGTGATAGCCACTCAGAAACTCAGTATGCTCGTGGTTGTCGTCTGGGTGACAACATCGGAGTAGACTATTGACTCTCGAGTTGACAGTTTGGAGAGTCCACTTCCATTCCATCGGCCTTGCAGATCCCTAGCCTAGCACTTCTATGTTATACCTTCTCATCTTGGCAATCTGGACAGCCTTTCTACCCATGTTCAAACATTGAGCGGACATTCCATATCCCCAATCTTACTTTCGCTTTCATCGAGAGAAGCGAAGACACATCAGCCAATTGGCTTCCCGAAGGCTTTCAGCAAGTGGCGTCATTTCGTCTTCCTGATTCCAGCCAGGAATAAGTTTAATTTTATTTTTTATGTTTTCTTCGTGTTTTGAAGTTTCTTAAATCATTGGATTGGTTGCTAGTCCTATGCCCAACCTTCCCTCTTCATCCGGGCTAGTAACTAGTTACTTATACGAGGTTACAACGTTATATCTGTATACATATACAGTGGACTTGGTTTTTTACACTGGCATCTTCTCTACAACCAATCTCATATTGACAAGTAAAATCAAGTGCTTTTTCTCGACATTTCTGGTGTATGTCGACTGATCTGAAAGACTTCAGGGATCCTAATCTCCTCTGAATGACCTGGAAAATCATAGTGGACACCATAACAACACTTAGCCATAGTAGCACTATATGGCGAATGGAAGTATATTGAAAAGTGCAAACTATCGAATTCCAGTTCGATGTCTGAATTGTTTCATATTCATTCCAAGAGGAAATATCTAGAGCTTGATGCACCATGAGTTTGTTAATGAGAACAGACTAAGAGTTTGAAAATGGGGTTAACGAACAGTATTATGCTTCACGATTATTGGTGCTTCTCCAAGTCATTTTTATCAGTAAGGAAAACTTTTTCGAAATTTATTTAATAAGATAAATGCTTTCCAATGAATAAAAAAACTGAATAGCTATACTGTGTTTTTCGGCGGTATATATGTATATGAACCATTTAGTGCTCTGACGCGATACGATTAACGGTAGAACAGTGACCTCCGAACGTGATATTCAGCCAATACCAGAAAAAGAAGACAATGGTACGATTATATTTTTTCAATGGCCTTGACTAGGACAAAAAAAATAGTATATCAAAAGTGTAAAATGAACTAATCAGCGTTTAGTATCTTAAATCGCGGTAAAAGTAAGTAACATTGCATGGAGTGAAAAAGACGCAAACATAGGGTTTGGATTTTACAATGAAAATATATGTTAGTTTTCAAGGATCAGTCATCTCTAAAGAATACATAAGTTGATTTTATTTCCATCTGCTTCAAACAATCATATATCATTAGGCTTTCCAGCGACTGATATATCTCATCACATTGGTTCCATAAAGCTAAATAACAAAATGAACTTCATTTCAGTAGACTTAGATAATAATGCGTTAGAAAAGGTCTGAGCTGGTGATCAGCTTCATTCGTTTTAGGATAACATCATATTCTCTTTCTGATGACCAAGGAGCATCTTTACATAGATGACTCAATATCATGGATATCATGTCGGGATGGTAGCAAGATTGAATACTAGCTGATGGGACCCAGGGGTGGTCGAAGCGTCATATGGATTGGGATTGAAACTCGATGTTTCGCACAAATGTGAAGATGTCAACCGGATGCATCATAGATGGACCTTAAGTATTCTACTGATTGCTACTAGAATTATTGTTTTTCTGTTCTCCACCAAAACCATTCTCTACGACTCATTGGAGGAATGGATGTATTGGATTCGGTAATTACCCTGAAGAGGTTGCAACTAACAAGGGCCGTCGAGTTAAGCAACAATGTCTAGAATGCCTGTCAACATATTATTCATGAACTGTTGGAAAGTGGCAGGAAGTAGTCACAATCCCGAAAGACAAACGGTTGTACTGTAAAAGACGTCGATTAGCGTTCACGATTAGTAGTATGCAACATCATGGTCAAATCTGCAAAAAACTTGTCCCTATTTGGAGTAGTAAATAGATTATCTACAATAGGCAAGATACTGCTCTTAAGCAACATTTGAAGATGCTGAAAAACCAGCACGCAGCCAAAAAGAACAGTTAGCTTTGTTTTTGATGACGTTAAGGGTGCTCCGGAAAAAATAAGAGCTTAGTCTTACTAAGGGTTAACGACTTACATGAGACGAATCATCTGTAACGAAAAACAGGATATGAATTTGATTTCAAGAGTACAACAGATTGTGTTGTGCTGCAGTGGCTGTAGCCAGGTTGAAAAACACCTGCATATTCTTTAGAAGTATCATCAGAATCCATCCGATAATGCTTGAATTTTATTCCTCTCCTTATTCAATAAGTCAGTGAGTCACAAGTTCTCTTACCAGTTGACACCCAGCCGGTTGCGGTCAGTGTCAGTAACGTAACAAACTACTTTGCATACAGCTTCCCTAAATAGGATGTATCAGTGAAAGTGAATTGTG